TTCCTTCTCCATGCAGTTGAACTGGGTGTCTGAGGTTCTCTGTCCTCCTCCTCCTCCTCCTGGCAATGAAGCTCTGTCTTTGTTTAGGCCAATGGTCGTCTTTTGTTCATGTCAATGGCCTCTCCTCCAGGTTCTCTCCACCTTCTTCTTTCCAGGACAGTCCTTCCCCTCACAAATATGGATTCTCAGAGGCGTTTCTCTATTACTAAGTGGCTCAACCTGGGCTGGGGGTTCTCTGCCTTGGAGCCAGGGGAACTTTCACTCCCACAACGTGGCCCTTCCCCCACTACCAAAAACGCTTTTCCCCTCCCCCCCCGCCCCCCCACACACAAACTCAACACATTAGGGTGGTGTGGAAAAGTAGGACTACGCTGTAGTTATTGAAGCAAATCTGTGCCTTGAGACTTTGTGGCATCTTTACCTGTAATATAATGTGTCTTTTTGCATGTAACTAGCTCACTGGTACCTGTATTAATAGAAAAAGAAAGTCCCTGGGAGAAGTGACTTACTTGCAACATAAAATTTATTTTTAGGTTGGCCTTGGACAGTTACACTTGCACGGAGGAAGAGGAGTAGAGCAAAATCACCAGGTACCCTTTATGTGTATCTCTGATGCATATTACAAATGGCGGAGGGGGAGAAAGTATAGCTGAGACCACCGTGTAGCAAAAGTGCTTAAGTACCACTGTAAGATATTTAATAAATTCAATAGTCTTGTTCAATAAAACTTAATTTATTCAATAACACTTAATCTTATGTGACTAGTATGTGGAGCTGATTTTCTTACACAATTAGTTTAAGACTAATCATTTTGTGAATGAGGAAATCGAAAACAAAGACCAGGTTTTCACCAAGTAGTACTTGAAACTAGCTGAGCTTTTGTGCATATGGTGGAATCTTCATGACGCAACACACTGTGCATGCATTAGCGATGGTAGTCTAGTGTATGTGGCATGCAAGGTTATTTTGCTACTGCAGACAAAACAGTGCAACTTTTGATACTGAGGATATTAAGTGTGCATAGAAAATAAAACTTCTGCTGTTGTAAGCCAACCTAGCTACTGCTTATAGAAGTTGAAGTAGCTAACCTCTTCTTAAAGTATGTATTGAAAAAATGGAGACTAAGGATGTGCAGTCCTGAGGATTATTTCGGATTCAGCTACCAACCAGAAATTATTTAATGGTTGTGTGATTTAAAATACCTTAAAATGACTGATCTATAAGTGTTCAGAGATGTTACCAAGTGGTCAGAATGAGTATAACCAAGCTCTGTGTAAAACTGGAATTGGAACTGGCAAATCTCTCCTTGTCTAAACAGAGTTTGAAAGTGCAATAAGGAAGTGAGATTTACCTGTGTAGCTTGTGCATAGTAGCAGTTGTAGCTTTTGGGGATTTTTTCCTCTGCTTTTTGGAATACATTGTTCAGAGGGATTACTCAATATTCTGATTACAAATGGGGAACCCCATTATGTATTTTAAATTAGGTGGGATTGGTAACTTATACCCAGAAGAACCTGGTAACTTGGCAAACAATCTACTGGCCTCTGGTCCATTTGCAAGAAAAAGTACTCAAATCATAGTCATGGTAGCTAAAATACATGTTCTCTTCCCTACAGCGAGCATTTGAGTACTTCAATCAAGCAGCTAATGCTGGCAATTCACATGCTATGGCCTTTCTAGGAAAGGTAAGGTATGAACCCTCTCAAAAGTAAGCAAACTGACTACCTTTCAATGAAAAATAACAAATATTTCCCGGTTTCTGATATTAGGTAGCCTAAAACTTGAATGCTGGAATCCAAGTACTGAAGTTTTGCTACTGTTTTGAATTGTCCTGCAAGACTTGAGTGTTGTAGCCTATTACGTCTAGGCTAAATTTTCTACTTGCTCCTTCACTTTAGGAACTTTAATTTTTCTAAACGAAGCTTGCACTAGATTTTTTCTTTTTTCTTTTTTTTAATTAAATAGCTAAATACCTAAATGTCCTTTTTCTGTGGTGGAGTTCAAAATTCAGAGTAGTCTACTGTGCTCTTCCATACTGTGTGTAGGGAAAAACTAGGTGTCTCAAAACTTTGCCTGTTGGGAAATAATAAGTTCAGGAAGGGAAGGGGAAAGCCATCTGTATTCTTATTCTGTGTAGAGAACTGAAGCATCTGAATCGGAGTTGCCAATAGGTCTGCATTTACTCTGAACCAAATCCTAAGTCTGACTGCAAGGTGGGCCACTGTATCAATTTTCTTAGTTTTAAATCATTTTTTTTAATCCAAAACATGGATTGACAAGCTGCTACTGGCGAGGTTAATGTGTTACTGCTTAGAGAGGTATTTAGGTCACTTGCCTGAGATCTGGGTTGTTCCCTGTGAGGAGCTAAAACCTTATTACTCTATTTGAGGGAATAATAGGCTAGACTGCAATAAGCAGCAGCTCCAGCTCATCTTTTTCGGGCTGTCACTGCAGTAGAGGGTGCAAAATTCATGTTCTAAGAGTATGAAAAAATAGCATAATGCACTGGTAAAGGCACCTGACAGGAGAAATTGCAAGTTCCTGCTTTCTCTACTGATTGAATGTTTTGTATTTATCATCTTGAAATGAACAAGGTTTAGTAACCAATTTTTGCTTTGTTTTCAAGAAGGTTTTTAAGTGCCAATAATTGGACTTCCATAAGTCTCTCAAGATTTTTGCCTGGTTATGTGTTCTTCACTGCACACTGTTAGAACTCAAACATGAAGGGTATTTTCATGAAAACTTTTTCATGTTATGGGTAGTTCATTCTCCATTAGGAACTTAAACCCTCTGAATCTGAATTTTACAGCATAGAGATGTGTTTTCTGCTTCTGGGCAAGTTCGTTAACGATTGTTCAGTAATACAACGGTCAGAATAGCCTAATAGTACAACAGCCTCCCTCTCAAATGCAAAGTGAAGATGCTTCATGATCTCCATGCTAAACTAACTTCGTCAGCTGTTCTTCAATAATGCCTTTCTCCTCCAGATGTACTCAGAAGGAAGTGATGTTGTACCTCAGAGCAATGAAACAGCTCTTCAGTATTTCAAGAAAGCTGCTGATATGGTATGATTATCTGTAAGGTGAAATACAGCATATGCACTAAAAAGTTGATTAGCTTGGAAATGCTGCAAATGCTTATTTTTGTGCATTTCCATGTGCTTACACCTACTCCCAGCTTCTGTCCCAGATTAGCCCATAGTTAAACCCTGACATCTTGTCTAAGATGTCATAAACTGCCTCCAGCTCTGGTCATGGTGCTTCATGAAACTGTGTTGAGCACAAGGAATCTAACTCTCATGAATGCACTGATACTATGTTATTTTGGTTCTGTTTTGTGGTCAGTGAATAGATGATGTTTATGGGTTTATACCTCTCATCTCATGGGAACGTTTGGGTTTTAGCTGTTAATCCCTCATGTCTGTCTTTGACCTATCCTGTATGGTAGCATTTGTACAGTTAAAGCATGAGTAGTCCTCCAGAAAAGATGGTTAGCATGTGAAACACAGTAGATGAAGTTTTGAAGGGACTGTTGTAAGATAACTGTCTTCATGGCTCTTACATTCCACTATTGGGAAGTTGGACTAGGTGACTTACAATGGTCCCTTCCAACCCAAACCATTCTATGATTCTATAATTAGGTTGCTGTTCTACACCTCTCAATTTGCTAATTTCCTACATTCACTGAAGGTTTCTGATGTGCTCCATCGCATGTCCTGACACTGAAGAAATACCATAGTGCATACTTTTGCAGGGGCAGGGGTCAGTAATGCGGCCCACAGCACAGCCACCACTCTGCCCTTAAATTAAAACAGATTCTCAGAGTTCCTGTAGTTGTTTTAGGAGCTTCTGTAGCATCCAGAACATCTCAGACTTGGAAAAACTAAAAATTAATAAGATCTTAATGCCCAACCTTTCTATGGGTGTGGGTTCTACATCTTGTACAGCATTTTAAAAGTGCACAGTGGACTTCCATAACTACTGTTGAAAGCTTTTATTTTTCCTGATAATCACCTGTGTAGTTAGTTACTGAATAAAAGTTACCAAAGATGCTATTTTCTCCCTAAATAACTATTACTTAATAGGAGTGAAGTTACAAAGCAAATCTATCTTAAGCACTATTTGTTTTAATGGTGTTAAAGACATACTAAATTTGAAAGATGTAGCTGTAGGTTTTGCCTTTCTTTGCAGAAGTGTTCTCCTGTGTTTTCAGGGTAATCCAGTTGGACAGAGTGGATTAGGAATGGCTTACCTCTACGGAAGAGGTGTTCCAGTGGTAAGCTTTTGACAGTCATCTTTCTAATCATAGGTGATTGTGTAATTTCTTGTTGTCAACAAACTTTTTCTCTAGAGGCAAGTACTGTAGAAGACTTAATTGTGAAGATTCCTGTCACACTGAAAATTCCATGAGGAAATCTTAATACAAAAAAAAAAATCACTGTGGAGTTAGCAGCTATGAAACATGCTGAGTTCCTTGTAATAAGTTTGAAAATGTTGCTGAAGCTATTAGATATACATAACAGTGTGAATTTTTAGTAGGAGTTTTGAACTCAGCTCTATTTTTTCTTTTTTTTGTGAAATAAAACAAATCCTAATTGTCCCCATTTTGAAGGAGCACTTTCAAATTGCTGATTAGTTCATTTGTCTTGTTGCTTTTCCCACAAGAAGGTTTCTTGTCAAATGTTTCATATTTAGCTATGCAAGCAGATATTAAAAAGTTGAATTAGCTCAAAGTTGAGGAAACAAGTTAAATTGTTCTAGAAACAGAAGAGGGTATCTAATCTGTTAAGCATAACTGTTCATAGCCATGCTATGTATGGATGCCAGCTTTGAGATAGTTACAGACTTAAGACATGCTAATACCATTGTAGGCTATTTCATTGTTTGTTTCCAAATTTTGACAAAGGTGAATATTTTCATACAAAAACATCTCCCTCTGATTTTTCTGTAATATAGATCTGTCCATGTGCTTACACATGTGTGCATGCATATCTTCTTTATTTATTGAAATTATGTATTGCAAGGTTCTAATGACTGGACTAAATCTTCCTGCAGAACTATGAACTAGCACTGAAGTATTTCCAGAAGGCTGCAGAACAGGGATGGGTTGATGGACAACTTCAACTAGGTTCCATGTATTACAGTAAGTGGCATCAAAATGATGATTTACTGGGTCTAAGCATCTGCCCTTTCAGTAACTGTTCACTAGGTGGCATTGTAAGTGCAGATAAGCTGCATGTAGAGTGGTCTTACCGCATTGAATTTATATTTTATTCTGTTTTTTCCTAACACTTTCACAATGTTTTTCTTTAATAATTTTAAAGAGTAAGTAAATACTGTATTTCGTACAACTCTACTTTTAAAAAGGAATGAGTAGCAATGACTTAATCTTTCTTTTAGATGGCATTGGAGTCAAGAGAGACTATAAACAAGCTTTGAAATATTTTAACTTAGCCTCCCAGGGTGGCCACATCCTGGCTTTTTATAATCTGGCTCAAATGCATGCTACTGGCACTGGAGTGATGCGATCCTGTCATACTGCTGTTGAGGTAAGGCCATCCATTTATAAAGGTCAAATAATACTGACTTGCAAAGGTTGGGTATAACCATGTCAGCTTATATAGGAAATTTGTCTTAGCTAAAATCCACTGGTGACAGCAGAGGCAAGGCTATCAAAAGAAAAAGTGATATCTTATCAAACTCAAGTACTGAATTCATCATTTAGATATGTGTTGAAGTGTAACAAAAAAAAAAAGCTGATATTAAGAATCATTGTGACTAAGCATCTGAATCTTGGTATGTATTTGCTTAGTAACCTGTATCTTAAAGTAAACCTGTCTTAAGTAGTGAGTTCGGCTATCGTTTTTCCTGTTAATTGTAAATTTTTGAACAGCATTTGAATGTTAAAGGTTCAACTCTTACCTTTTCCGATTTTTTTTTTTTCTTCTCCCCCTTCCCTCCCCACCCCTGCAGTTGTTTAAGAACGTATGCGAACGGGGGCGTTGGTCTGAAAGACTGATGACTGCCTACAACAGCTATAAAGATGGTGATTCAAATTCTGCAGTGGTTCAATATCTTCTTCTGGCAGAACAAGGCTATGAAGTTGCACAAAGCAATGCTGCTTTCATACTTGATCAGAGTAAGGATGTAAAAGTACTGAAAGTTATTTTTGGAGTTGGCCCGCAGTAGCCCATTTGGTAGAATGCTTGAAGATATAATTACATACCTCTTGTTCAGTTAGAACTTCAGTCAGACTCTTGTCCTCTTTTCTGCTCTTCACAACGGAAACCAATTTTAATTTTCACCTTTAAGGACAGCTTTCTGACCTCAAAGTTATTATACACTTAAATTCTGACTTCTGGAATTTAAAAAATGGGATAGAGAGAGAATGCTTTAGAAAATTGCACAGTGCTGAAATTTTTTTTCCCTGGATTTCCTAAACACAGCCTTAACATTTTATTTTTACATCTAGAAAGTAGGAATTGCATTGGTTTTACCTTTGGCCTTTACTGTGCATACAAGCTTCAGTTCCCTTTGTTCTTTGTCTTGTAATGTCTTTTCGCAACACTTTTTTGGTTTTGTTTTTTTGGTTTTTTTTTTTTTTTTTGTAACTTTACTCGTGCTACTCTTGAAGCGGGGATGAAGGCCTGGGCAGTTGGCTCTGTTAGATTTGAAAAAGCTTGTCCCAGGTCTCTTACTGCAACTAGGTGGATAGAGTTTGGATTTCTTAGTTTGAAGTTGTAGGGCAACAATGTAAGTACAAGTCACAAGTTTTTCTGGAAACTACAAAACCCAGTATTTTAAACTGTCTGGATCTTGAATCCTTTAGGGGTTTGCATCTTAATATAGAAATCGGCTATTGATGGCTGATAGGCTAATCTAACATCTTAATTTCCAGTTAATATTTTTCAAAGGTGCCTTAGTGACTCATCTTTAGATGAGCTACAGCAATGATAGTCTTGGCTGGGAGTGCATTCTTGCAAAGAAATAGCATCATTCCCCGGGTTAAAGTTCTGATTGTCATTACTCATATATCTGCATTTCAACTGGCGATTAATTTAAAATTATTTAATATACATTATACAGAAAATCTGCATGTCAGCTGTGAGATAGTACAGCTGAAACCTACTTACATGAGAAGTGAAAAAAGTTATAAATACTTTGAACTGTCTGAACTTTGATACTTCAGCAGCCCTCAATTTATGACGTGGAAAAGTAAAATAACTTCTGAAGTAGCTGTAGCACTCCTGTGTAAAATATTCAGTCTCTGGCTGGTTAAGGAGTTTAAGCCTTTGTTTTACTTGGTCAAACTAAACTAGCTTATACTTTACCGTTGTATTTCAGTGCACCTTTGTCAGAACCCTAGTTGTGTGCTTTTAAGACTTTCATCTCCTGGTATTCCTCAATTATGCTTCAGAATCCCCTAGAGCAGGGATGGGAGAGACACTTGGGAAGCAGTATTTCAGGGTGAAATGACAGTTTGTTCCTAGGTCTTACATGGGCGGGTGTATGGAAAGACCATATAAATGAAAGGACTTCTTATGAGTTTCAGATGAGTTGAATCTCGTTTGTGCTACATCACAGATTACTTCAAGTTTTTAATTAATTTCACCAGACTGAATATAAGCATGGGGGGTTTTTGTGGTCTTGTGTGCATATACCATGCTCCTATTTAACTGAATTACTTTCTTCTCTAGAAGAAGCTAGCATAGTAGGAGAAAATGAAACCTATCCTCGAGCTTTGCTTCACTGGAATAGAGCAGCTTCTCAAGGTATATCCGTACCTCACAATTCCAATTAGTTTATTTTTAGTAGAGCCATTAATGTTTGATTTCATGGGGTTTTTTTATGAAACAGGGAAGGAGGGAAAGCTTATCTCCTTTTGCTCATATTCCACACAGAACAGTTGCTGTTCTTTGTTCCACCATTAGCTATAAAGTCACTGAATCACAGAATCAGTGGTTGGAAAAGACCTTTAAGATCAGAGTCCAACCGTAAACCTAACACTGCCAATTCCACCTCTAAACCATGTCCCTAAGCACCTCATCTATGTGTCTCTTAAATACCACCAGGGAAGGTGGCTCCACCGCCTCCCTGGGCAGCCTCTTCCACTGCTTGACAACCCTTTCAGTGAAGAATTTTTTCCTAATATCCAATCTAAACCTCCCCTGGCGCAACTTGAGGCCGTTTCCTCTCATTGCTTGTTACCTGGGAGAAGAGACCAACCCCCACCTCTCTCCAACCTCCTTTCAGGTAGTTGTAGAGAGCAAGAAGGTCTCCCCTCAGCCTTTTTATTGCAGTCAATTGCAATGTGCTTGCTATTCTAAGCCATTCTGAGATCCTGAAGATTAAAAGAACTGAAACACAAATATATGGTGTGTTTCTTCTGCTGTTCTATATGGAATTATAGAGCAGTGTTAAACAACATAATGTTTACACTGACATTTATAAAAATTAATCCGCTTGGAAAAATAAAGTACTCTCTAGGATTTTGGTACTTGTCTTTATTTGTAAGAGATACAGTTTCCTATTCAAAGCAATTAAAGCTCAGTGATGAAGAATGCAGTCTTTACGTCCAGCCAACCCAAGTTTAAATTCTGGTGCTTGTGATTCTATCCTAAAATTAGCAAACCTAAACTTAACCATTAAATACCTCATTGTGAAGTCTCTAACTTGTATACCGGTGCATCTACATTAATGCCTGCTGATAGCTTTTTACTTAAAAGCAAATGTATCATCTGAAAATCTTCAGACCTACTTGACTTGTAGCAGAAAGTTAGAAATTGAGAGGATGAATTTGTTAAATATTCAATTACCAAATGATGATGGGAGACTTTTTCAGACTTTCAGTAGTGTGTCTGTTTTAAAAACAAAGCTGAAGCCCTTAATGACGATGCAACAAATGGAAAGGTTTTCTGTAATAAGTGACTGTGAACAACATGATACAGGTTTTCACTGATGCCACTAAATAGCAATAAAAATGTTGGTAGGATTGCTGAGAAAAGGACTTGCCTGAAAATAGAAATCAGTTGTGTTTTTGTTAGCTAAACTCAATTACAAAAAAAAAAAAGCTGTTCATGTGAGAGGGAAAAAGGGAAACAGTTTGTGCAAAATGTGGAAAGTAATACTAAAGCCCTGATTACATCTTCATATGAAAGTAAAAGGCTTTCTTTGCTTAGCTATTTTATCTTTTTTTGTTGTTTCTGATTTATAGGATATACTGTGGCAAGAATTAAACTTGGAGACTACCATTTTTATGGTTTTGGTACTGATGTTGATTATGAAACTGCATTTATTCACTATCGACTGGCATCAGAGCAACAGCACAGTGCCCAAGCAATGTTTAATCTGGGCTACATGCATGAGAAGGGACTGGGCATCAAGCAGGTGAGTAAGCTGTGGGCTGATAGGCTGCTGCATTTACTAATATTAGATTAAGTCCATAACCACTACTGGGCCTCAGGCCCTATATAACCACTGAGTAGGAATTAGCATGTCTGCCAATACATTCTCCAATAGCAAATGGGTAAGTATACCCACTTCACACTTACCTATGTTAAGAAATGAGGCATAGACAGGGGAAAAAACTATTTGCTCAAAATTGTGAAGATTGGCAAAGAGTGACGTATGCTTGAGTAATGCTTTTGAGACTTTGAGGTGTGGTGAACTGAATGCAAAACAATTGCAGGTTCAGAGTATTTCAGCACGAGATTGTTCTCATCCTCTGAAACATTGGCTAATTGGTTTTCTATATCATGACATTTTGAAAACAAGTTCTGTGCATCTTTAAGTAACAAATCATAAGCACCAACAACGTGATTATTAGCTGTGGTTTTCAAATTAGGCTAGGCCACAATTTGCTTTACAAACTACCTTCAAAGAAGGCAGTATACCTGCTTCTCTTAGGAAGCCTATGGTGTGTTGCTGTACATGAGTTAACTAAAACTTACAGAATCCAGAGCAACATGTTCTTGTATGTGTCAAAATAACATAATTAGTAACTGCATACTAACTTTGAGCAGGTTACCTTCCATACCTTAATGTATGCTTAATTCATGAAATTCATGTATGAATTTAGTAATATCTTCTGGTTTACCTGAAACTGTAAGAACTGGTTTCATTTTCCTTATTTTCAGTGAGCTTCAACATTTGTTTTTTGTCTACATACACACCTTTTAATTATCCTGTCGGTCTATTAAGACCAATTTTTGCTTCTTTTCCCCCAGATTCTTGGCAAGAGGTCAGAACAGTGAAGGGCAAGTCTTAGGTCAATATTGTTACTTTAGCAGCAGCAAACAATTAACATTTGAAAACTGCTTACTGACCTACTTGTACAAGTGACAATACAGTACACAAACAGCATTATTTCTAAAGCTTATCTTCAAATTTTATTTTAGAACTGTTTTCTCTATTTAACTGAGTCCTCAAAACTAGTTATCTTCTGAAAATGAGCCTGCTGCTAAAATCAACAGTGCTAAAGCTGGTTTTCTAGAAAAAAAAAATCCTTTCAGACAGGGACTTATTTTCATTTTGCTTCTGCCTTGAAAACAACCAATCAGTGCAAGTAATAAAAACTTTGAAAATGTTATTACATCATGTTCAGCATAACTGCTAAGAATTTGAGAAAAAGGAATCCTAATGCTGTCATTGGCGCAGAGTAGTCTCCAACCTGAAGCGGAGATGGCTACACGTAGATAGCTGAAATAAGTACACAGAGGCTCATGTGCAGCCTTGCTTTATGCAGGTGCATAATACTTTCCTCTCATATAGGTCCACTATGGAAGGAAGAGTTGAACTGCAACAGAAATTGGGATAGTTAATATAGATATGGGAAAGAAGCACTGAGAATGTCTAAGCAAGGAAATTCTGTGTATAAGACCCGTCCTAGGCATTCTGGATATGTAATGTCTTTGGTTGCAGTGTCCTAAAACTTTACAACTGTAAGGTGAGAGGACAGAGATTTAGGACTGACTAGGTAAGACTAAAATGGTGCTGGGCTAGGATATTCTGAAAAAGACTAAGACTTTAGTTTTGAATGAAGCAAAAGAATATTTGGCTTTCCTTTCCCAAAATGGAAACTGCTGAATTTTGAGCACCTCTGAAAATGACTGACATTTAAAATCATGCTTTCTGATGTAGCAGGTGATATCTACCACTGAAGTCTGCTCTTCTACTAGAGGCCTGTGGAAGGGATGTGTAAAGATTTTAGCACTGTAGTGTCTAACAAGTTGGGGATTTAGTCTGTTAAAGAAAGGGATGTGTAGTCTTGCGCTCTCCCCACCTATGTCCATATCATTAAGACTGCAAGCACTCTAGAGTTAGGGAGAATGATAAAATAAAGTGATGTGCACAACTTCAATTCATGTCACTGTTCATTCTGGATAAACCTGAATATAAATATGGTATTTCTTACTGTTTTTTTGGTTTGCATTTTTTCCCCCATGCCTGCATGTCAGAATGAAGACTGTTAACATACTGCTCAAAATAAGAACAAATTTTATCAAATTGATTTTTCTCATGGTCTTCTCTTAAGATCTGTCATGATATTTTAGTGCTATTTGTGTGTTAAAGCTCAGACTCCTACAGTTCTCACTTGTCTGTCAAATGAGTGAAGAATGTATGTGCAGAGTGAAGTGCTTGCAAATTAGAAATTAAAATAAGCCAATGTTTAGGATCTGCTCCTACACTGATACTAGCACAGTACAAAGGATGTACAGAAACTCTTTTAAATAGTTTACAAAAGATAGATGTTCTACACTCAAGGAATATTCAGAGTTGTTCTATTGAATTAAAATACTAACATGTGAGCTAGTACATCTCATCTGCATAATGCATTGATTTTCATACTGTTATTTCCACATGTGTTATGGAACTAAGCTTTGTTGTATCAATAAGCAGAAAAATCTATACAGTATTTCACAATCAGGATAAAATTATAAAATGAACATGTGGCATGAAGTCCTGGAGGTTTCTTTTATTTTAAGTGTCCAACTTGGAATGCTTCAGAAGTAAGTGTTACACAGACCTGTACTTCACATCACTGAGTGAACACCCAAGTATCTTAAAATGGCACCATGTGTATCTGAAGCAGAGCCAAAAAAGCCCCAAACAAACAAGGAAAGTTAAAACTATTCAGGTACAGATATCCTCTGTTCTTCTTGCTACAGTTGCCTTCTTGTTCCAACTGCCACAGAAGGGAACACTAATTTAGGCTGTTCATAAAGTTGCTGGCTGTTGGTGCTTATCCTTTGGCCAGGCTGCCCTCACTGATGCAAGCTGTGTCCGGTTTGGATAAAGAGTAGAATCTAATTTTGGGGTATGTGCAGAAATGGTTAGAAGCTGCACTGTGCAGCAGGCATACTCTACTGTAACTGGGAGGAGTTGCTGTTGTGTACTCCTCCATAGCTTGTGTTTTCTTACTCTTTCATGTTTGCTGTGGTGTTGGAGATGTTGGAATGTACTAGAGTTACCTAAATACGTGCCTTAGCTTACTGTGCCATGGGCTGAGTGTGTTAATACTAATCTCTTTCTGAGCTTCGATTCTAGCATCAGTTGCCATAACTTCATCCTTCCCTTTACTTGTCTGTTCAAAGGTGAACATCCCTCAGAATAAAAGGCAAAGTTTTAATGAGTGTTTTTTGTTTAACTTGACCAAAATCTTGTATTCACATGACAGTATACAATAGCTTATAAGAAAAAGCTCTACATTTTATGGTTAATTTTTCAAGTTCTTCAAAATTGAGCTTTGTATTCTCTTAACTTTAGGATATTCATCTTGCAAAACGATTTTATGACATGGCAGCTGAAGCAAGCCCAGATGCTCAGGTTCCAGTCTTCCTAGCACTTTGCAAGCTTGGAGTGATTTATTCCTTGCAGTATATACGAGAAATCAATGTAAGTAATGCAGAATTAAAAGGAAAAACAAAAAATGTGTTTTCCACTTTTAAAAGAACCTTGAGTTGTAATCCTGAATTGTCAGTAGAAGTCTTACTTGAGCCTTCTGAAATAGGATAGATATGTTTTTGTGTTGTTGTGTATTAAGAAAGTTACTGAAGCTGTGGTTCCTCTTTCTTATTTGTGCAATTGTGTGAAACTGAAATGTGAGTAGCCAGTGCTCTCTGTGCTGGTCTTCCCTTGATTTCCCTAACCTGTTTGACTGTTCTTATCCATGCCCATCTGCTATCATAGTTAAGCAGATGATTACAATTACATAATTGCTGTTCAGGAAAAAATAGATACTTTTTAAATTCTTATTCTATTTTATATTGAGGTGTAACAATCCCACTTGAGTTGTGTTTGATTTCTGTTGGGGGGAGGGGGGATTGTATTGGGTGGTTTAGCTGTTGTATAGAGTTTCTGCTGAGTGATGGCCCTGAAAAAAGTATTTGCCTGGAATTTAGATTAATTATTTCCGTATAGTGTCTGAAATATTTCTCAGTATTCTGACATCTTAGTGCCTTTTGGATTACTTAAGAAATTCAAATGGTATGGAAGCTATTACTACTTAGAGCAAGTGCAGGTTCAGGCAATCCAGCTTAAGTTTGACAAAATTTCATAGTCTTGAGACTGGAGACTTTCAGGGGTGGACAGTCAAAATACTCTAAATCAATTGAGCAAATACCCATGTAGCACTCACAGGAACTAATATGCAGAACACAGATATTCTGCTGATGCAGACTTACACTGACAATAACTCTGTAGTACAGTAGTGAAGCATAAAGTGTGTGTTGGCTAATGCTTATGCAAATGGAAATATCACAAAAAGGCAGTTCAGTCAAAACTAACAGTAAGTCACTTTAACTGCCCTGTACCTTATCTGCACAAGGCTCAGCATTGTAGCACATAAGTATCCTGGGGCTTTAAGTTCTGTCATTCAGGGTAGTCTGCTGGTGGCTTCCAGTTTGGCTGGACTGATCAGTTCACTGCCTCTGTTATGTGGTACTTGCTCCTCTTTCAAAGAGACAATTACTATGGTTACATACCTCATTCTGATTTAAATTGTGTACTTTAATGCTTTCTGTATGTGAAAGCCACAAAGGTACTATCAAGAACCTTCATCTCCAGAACAGAAAAGAAATATAGTATGGCTCTTAGTCTCATTGGCATTGAGCTCCTGGAAATTGTCACTGCTGTGATACCTCTGTTTCATAGAGGAAAAGAGCTACTGAAGTTTTAAAACTGGTACTTGCACATGAAAAGTGTTAAAAGTCAAATATAAAATCAAAGTAACTTCCCATTCTTGCTCTTTGACATGATGATGTGGACTTCTTGTTTCTTAGATAAGGGAGGTATTCTCACATATTGATATGGACCAGCTGCTGGGGCCTGAGTGGGACCTTTACCTTATGACCATCATCGCCTTGCTTCTGGGAACAATTATAGCTTACAGACAAAGGCAACATCAGGCAATTCCCAGACCAGCAGGACTGCGGCCAGCTGTGCCTCAACAAGAACCAGCACCAGAGCATCAACCACCGCAATAGCAACAAGAGCCTCAGTGAAAGAACTGGATTTTTCCAAAAGGAACAATTTTAATTGTGATTTAGGACTTTTGATCAACAGTCCCTCCCCCAAAAGAGGCGCAGAGAAGTTTAAAAAAAAAAAAAAAAAAGTCTGAAAGCTGCTTAGAATGATGCCTTTTTTCAGGGATAAGAAAATTATTTTGAAACTGATATGAATGTTATTTCAGTGCCAATGGAATAACACTATGGCTTTTTTCATGGAAACACAAGAGTGCTACTACAAAAATGTTGCCTGCTGTATCTAGTTCCTCTTTATTCAGAGTCCTTTTCATCTCCTAGAGAGAGCAGAAGGCTAGCATTGGAAGGTTTTTGCCTGCTTGATAGCAGTTACCCTGTATAAAAATAATAACAATAATAATTTTATGGCAAATTTAAGTCCAAGAAGCTGAACTATATTCAAACTCTAAAATGACTAGAGCTATGTGAACTTATATTCTGGTCTGCATCCCAAGTATTTCTACAATCCTTATTTCTTAGTATTTCTTACACTTTGGTCTTTTATGCTGTCTTGGATGGTTTAACATGGATTATTTAAAAACTCTGTAAAACTAAGCCAGCAAATATGCCACTCTCCATTTGTGCTTTTTCGTTTTGAGTATTTTCCTCCATTCCCCTTAAACTACACAGTTCTCAGCAGACAGTATGGAGCTGAGTAGGTAGAGCAGGACAGATTGGGTCTGTAAAGCTCATCAGTTGAAAACTATCCACACAGTGCCCAGATCCCTCATCCTTCTAAAACTTCTTTGGAGCCTGTGAACTTTGCAATACTTCATGAAATAATTGGTAGTGTTCCTAAATTATTTAAACTTGCTCTTACAAAGAGGCTGAGTTTAGACTGCAGAAAGCACCAGTATTATTGTGGACGCTGAAGAAAGGACAGAGCTAGAAATCTCAGTGAGTTAGCTTACTACTTTTTTTTTTTTTTTTTAATAGATCGAAGTTCTGTATTTAATCTTCAGCAATCCTGTAAGTGATCTGCACTGCAAGGAAACGTGTGTGGTATCTCATGCATGCATCTGTTTAATGCACCTACAAAAAAGGGCCCCAAAGATGCCTACTCTCTGCAAAAGGGCATGCGTTTGTGGCAGTGATGCTACTCCACAGTTTGACTGTTAAAATCATATGTTAGATTACAGCAGTGCTCTGGCTGTGGCCAACCTCTCTTGTACCTGGCATAAATGAGAAAGTCAAAATAATGTCTCTGGCTGTGCCATCTTGAGGATTCCTTGTCACAAGAAAATCCAAAAGAAAGAAGACTAATGGTTTATGGCTTTTTGATACCACTAGGTCAGTGCAAAGGCCTTTGAATGAGTGCAGAGAATATGACCTGTGGACTGATGTTTTTAAACTGCAAGAGGAATCTTCACTCAGTAATGATTTTCACTGAACTATAATTTCAAGCTTTGGGGTGGGAAGCAGTGGGGGAGTAGCTTAGAGGCAAGAAATGCAGAAGTTTCTGTTTTTATTTACTAGTGGCAGTCGAATATTTGTTTCTGTACTAGCATTAAACCCTCTGAATACACTGTCTTAAAGCTGAATGAAACACAAATGAGGAGGCTTTAGCTGCTTTCTGACAAAAGGTGTCATGTTTAAAGGGTTTAGGGCTTCCTTTCATGGAAATATTTTTTCCAGTGGATTGGCAGCAACATATCAATACATTTTATTTAGAATTGAGATTTTTGGTGTAATTTCATACTTAGTATATTTATAAGGAGACCGTTGCACAATAGATCTGTAGTTTGGGAAAGAAGATAAGCAATCCAGTCTTGCAAACTGAAATGTCTTGGATGACTAGTATTAAAATATAGGTAGAATTTCTCAGTACTTCAAAAGTTTATGCTGGTTGTGTGAAGACAAATCTTTCATTTTAGTTTGGAGGGTTGCAGCATGTGATAGAGGAATGTCTTGTTCAGTCTCAATAATCATTAGCAGATGGAACAGTATTGAACTTAAATGTAGTGTCTAAAATGTACAGCACTCCCCAGTTGCATTTCTAAGATACATGTGACTTCTGAACACTCCCGCTGAAGTATTTTTGCCTCTGTCACTTAATAGCTCTTTTTAGCTTGGCATGAATAAGTTAAAGATTATATGGAAAGTATTTTTCAGTTAAATACTGAAAATTTTCAGTTCATTGGTATTGGTCTCTTAGGATGCTTAACAGTTTTGTTATTGCATTATTAAAGTGTTTTGGTTGTTTGATCTACTAGAACTAAATTCTAAAAGCTCTATCCTATTTGCATGAGAATCTCTCATCATTGCTGCTGTGTGATAGTCTTATAGCTGACTTCACTGAACCTGATGCATTTTTACATCCAAGAAATCAGCAGAAGAAAACAATTGAAGATCAGCAAGCTATTTCACTTTTAAGAACTGCTTTTTGAAGAAGCAATAAGGAAGTCTTTCTCCTGCTTTTTTCCCTTCCACCAAATTACTACCACTAACTTTTTCAGATGACATTCATTTGAATAAAGTGGTAGTAGTAAAAAGGTACTTACTATTAGTAATGGCAAGTTAACTCAGGGATTAAAGAAATGGATAAGTTTTCTAAATCAGTTGTCTACAACATGACTTAAGTTTTTGTGACAATCCCTTGCTACTCTGTTCTGAAACTTGCATTTTGAGGGAAGTATACTTAACTCTTACTAGCAATATGTTTCTTACTGTGCACACAATTTATCAAGCAGCTTTTTTCCTTAAAGGAGCTGGGTTGCTCAGTTTAGTGCAGTGAAGTACTATTCCCTTTTGGTAGCACACAGGTTGTCTTACAGTTTATATGCAGGAGCCTTTTAGAAGGGAAGCTTGATTTAAGAGAAGCCTTTCTGGGTATGTTCAGCATGCTTTGAATGAAAAACTTGTATTCTTTGTCTGTAGTAACGTAGGCCAGAGCCTGCCTATTTGACCTTCCCAGACACGTGCTCTTCTCTCCCTGCACGGAGAATGGAACTACAGAGCAATAACCCTTGTCAGTGGGAGTTTTGTATGTAGGAAAACTGAGTAAAGATACAGAGGAAAACATTGTTCTGCATCTCAAATTATCAATCAGACATGCTAGCTGTTCTTGCTGGTTGAAAGAAACACTGAACTGTTGAGAAAACAGATTTCTAGTTCATCACTCTAGTGAAACTTGTCCCAGAGCTGTCTGTCTGAAATAATTTTCCTTGCTTTATATTGCCCATCATGGGACAGTGTAATAGAAGATAAAGCCTTTGATACAAACATCCCAATGAGACTCATATGAGATAGTTTTACTCACTTTTTAGTCATCTTCCATAAGTCAGCTGCTCTTATTAAAGTAAATCAAAAAAATAAATAAAAGAAACAAAAAACCACCAAACTATCAGATGTTATACTTTTTGGAGAAGAACACTGAAATGTGGATTGTGAAAGGACTTTTAAGACTATGCATTATCTTGTTTCCACCTATTATATGCTAGTTTTGGCCTATAAAAGGGGATCACACTCAACTTTGCAAGTTGCTTCCTCTTTAGATAGGCAACAATTAACTGAAATTCTATTTTTATTTCAGAGAATATGAAACTAAAAAGACTTAGTTTGATTTGAACTACTGCAAATGCATATGGCAAATAGGGACTATTGAGGGGAACCCTTTGTTTTTATCAGCTGCAGTTCTTTAAAGGGTCTTGTAGGAGTTTTGTAAATTTATTTTGTATTTAAAATCAGTATAAAGGCTGGTCAAATGTAATATAATTGTGTAAACAAATTCTGTTAATAGAAAGATGTACAGATTCATTTTGTACTGTATCTTTAATCTTGTGAAATAAAGATACCACCTGTGTGGTTACCCTCAGTGTTCACCATGGTTATGATAACAGAGGATGTCTGTTGTTAGTCATATGCACTGGTATATGCCACTGCTAACTGCATCCCTTCCTGTAAGGAAGCTTGCACTTCTTTCACTTCTATCTGCAAAAAAAATAAGTCTGTTAATTTAGGAGGGGCATAGGAAGGGGAACAGAAAACTATGCATTGAATCTTCAGCTGTGCTAGAAAGTTGCTCTGTGTGTGTGTGTGTGTGTGTGTGTGTGTGTGTGTGAGTGACCCTTTCTTCAGTGTAGACAGCATCTGTACTGTGTGTGGCAGATGCAGAACTGCTGTGATTCAAGATGAGTGACCAGTAACTGTAGGATTGCTATTACATTTTCAATACTAATACAAAGATAATACAGTGACTGGAAACAGATACCAGGAGAGGGACTACTCCAAGCTGACAAGTTTGCTTGTTTTCAACCCACTTCAGGCTCTACTTGTTGAGACTACTGTGTCCTCCCTTGTAAATGTATTATGTAGATTTCCTTTCCATTGTGCTTATTAATTTGAAAGAAAACAATTAGGGAGAAGGAAAGTAAGGAGAGTGAGGGAGCAATAATAATGGCTCTGACGGCATCAGTGAACTGTCTTGGTTACATAGTTTTCTGAAGCATTTGGAGGTTTTCCATGTTGTCTGCTGCTGCCAATAACACTTGTTGCAGGGAGGAAACAGAACTGCTGGTACTAAAACCAGCTGGAGTCTGACTGATACAGCTTAATCTTAGTGAGGTCTGAAAGAGCCTATGGCTTGAGATGCAGTTGCAGATGTGCTCAAGTGCGGTGGGGTCAGAAGTGTAAATACCTTATTGAACTTGTAGCCTGTAGTCAATGAGGAGTTGTTTTCTGTGATGGGAAGAATACCAGGCATATAAATGGGTGAGGAGCAGAGTGTTCAGTTTTGTTTTTTGTTTGTTTCTTTGCTTTTTTTTTTTTTTTTTTTTAGAAAAAAAAGAACTACTGAGTAATGTTCATTGAAAACTAGTATATTTATTTTCATTTCCTGGCTTGGTTGGTTTTGTTTTTATGTTGCTTTATTCTCCTCAGTCTAAGGCTAAAACTCTTCATTTAAAATTAAAATACTAATAGAAAGTATAGTTTGTAAACCTGCAACAACTGTTCTATTAGAATGTGTTGTTTAGTATAGTGACAAAACGTTCTTCCTTGTCTCTAAATCACACACAGAGTCACACAGAATTGTAGGGGCTGAAGGGACCTCAGGAGATCATGTAGTCCAAC